AGAGATGTGTATAAGAGACAGAATCTATAGAAACAAAATTCAGTCAATAAATTTCGGAAAGCCTAAAAACAATGACCGCTGTTAAAAGTTCTATCGCATATTATACTCGCAATTATTCGTTCGCATACAATAGCACGGCGCATGTGGTATCTTCCCTAAGTGAAACATTTTCAACTTAAATAATATATTATCGATGTAACTGTGTATATCGACACACAGTTGTCTTAAATGCTTGACGATCAGACATGTCTATACTTTTCTCTAATGATTTGGCGTTTGTTTCTGTTTGCACCATCGAATTAACCTTGGATTTCTGTGAGTAACAAGATTTTTCTACTAGAGCATTAACATCAGCACATTAGTTATATTATCCGTCACTATCTACAGCAATTTCGAACAATTGAAGATGGCAAACAGCTCTCGGTTAATATAACTGTTTCTCGATATACTGCTCCCGTAGAAAGATACACGTAATTAAAAAAAACAAGAATATTTGACGTAGAAATTAATTTTGTATCACTAATAACGATCAAGCGGGTCAACCCACGGATCTGAGAATGTTTCACTTAGGGAAGGTACAACATGTGCCGTGCTATTGTATGCGAACGAATAATTGCGAGTATAATATGTGACACAGAACTTTTAACAGCGTTCATTGTTTTTAAATTTTCCGAATTTTATTGACTGGATCGTATATACGGGGAAGGTCACTCCACGTATTAGTTTTTAAAAAATGTTTATTATTAATGTGACTTGTTTAATACACCAGAAAATATATACACGAACTCGGTCGCGTCAATAATATGATATGAGAGGACTCGGCCTCTTATCATGAGAGGACTCGGCCTCTTATCGTCTCGCGGAGGACTCGGTCTCACGATTCTATGAGAGGACAGCCTCGTGTCGTCTCGCGGAGGACTCGGCCTCACGTTCGCTCTCAAGATCTCGGTTTTACGTTTTTCTATGCGTACGCTTCGCTACGAAAATCGTATATACCTAGGCCCATCGAGGCTGTCCCTTATATAGGGAAACTCTCGGCTAGCATGGGCCAAT